GGAAACTGTTGTCTGGCCGTTTGTCCGCAGTATGCTCGCCGTGGCTTCATTTTCCAACAGGACAACGACCCGAAACACAAATCGAAGCTGCTCACCAAATGGTTCCGCGACAACAACGTCCCTCTGCTGACGTGGCCGTCGCAGTCTCCCGATCTGAATCCCATCGAACATCTATGGGAAAGACTTGAGCACCAAGCAAAAGGCCTCAGAGCTCGAAATGAACACGAAAAGTTCCTTCAGCTGAAGACAGCATGGGAGAACATCCCACAGGAAAAGAAAGACAAACTCATCGAGTCCATGCCACGCCGATGTCAAGCGGTCATTGACGCCAGAGGTTATGCGACAAAGTATTAATGTCGTAGTTGTTATATTGATATTATTCAAGTTGTTCCGTTGAGAAATTGGAAATCCAGAGAGATTAAAGATTTTATAGGTATGATGGTGTTTGGACACAAATTGATGTGAATTCTCTTAAAATATTTTATAATTCACTTAGACAGCTGAGAAATTGCTCGCTCATAAGATTCGTTGATGGGAACTAACTATGAAAAAATCAGGCGAAAAGATGGACATTTGAGGAAGTTATGTTTGAAAAAGTGAAAACGAATACTTCACTGACCGGTACTGTATCTTCAGAAAAGAGGATAGTACATTAAAAGTTGCCATGGAGTGGTCACTACTCCCGATTGGAGGGGACCTTTGAACATTTTCAATTATAGAACTGTCATTGCATAAAAGTAAATCAAGACAGGAATTAAGGCGGGTAGGAAATAAAAACTTTTGGACTAAACCATGTGAGCTGAACAAGTTTAGAAATTTTGACTCCATGACATCCACTTGTGCCGCAGATGGGAAACCCAATTGAGGCACATTGAAATCACCAGCAACTAAACAGACCTTCTCACATGTGCATAGGTCGCTGATCGCCTTGATAAGCTGATCAGTTTTTCCTGAACAACAGGAGGGTGACCTGTACAACAGTATGACCCTTATCTCCAGAGAGAAAACCCAGATATCCATTGCTAAAATTTCATAAGAAGTCTTTATTGATTCGCTAAATACAAGATTGGCTGAATGAGGATATTTAACCATAATCATGACGCCACCACCTCTTTTGCAAAGTCTGTCCGCTCGAAAATTCCGATAATGTGATGCCATCAAACCGATTAAAGGGGCCAGGTCAGCCTTTGAGTGAAGCCATGTCTCACTTAGTAATACCATGTCATAGTTTTCCTTACATAAAAGAGATACCAGAGCATATCAAAATTCCGCGAAATTTGCTCCTCTAAGAGAAAAGTTATGAACGAAAATGCGTAAGTGTGTTTGGCCGAAGACCTTTGAGCGCTACCGTATACTCACTATAAAATATAATCTCTTGATCATCTATTTCAAGCTGGGGCCCCAGTTACTTCTCCATTCGTCACTGCCGGCTGCCAGAGTAGCTCACTGAACTCTTCTCGGTTGGGGTAGACGAAGCACATCACTCCTTTCGTGAAGAACTTTTGTGAATGAGTATGACTAGCTTAATATCAGAGAACTTTAATGAGAATTTGAGATCACGATTCGTCCCTCAGCGGAAAGTAAATAGAGAGCTGTGAGTTATGAGTCATGTTAGTCGTTCACTGCTTGGGTTTCTGCGATTGTGATCTACGATCGAATCACGCTCGCACGGTTAGCTTCCCAGCGAGCTGTTATTCGATTACTACAGGTTTTTTAGGAGATTGTGACAATGATGAATAGAAATGAATTGGTCAGAGTCAGTTAAAGAATAGTAACGGTTGAATTCGGTTTCAGTTTTGTTAAGTTCGATCATATTCAATAGTTAAATAAATAAAGATCAAGAAAACATTGATATAAATGTATTATTTTAATGTTAATGTTTTTAATTCAATCAATTTTGACAACATTTGCCATATTTTCCTGAATAGAAATCACATTTTATATGCTTAACTGTCCCATTCATTCAGGTATTACGTAAGCGCGCCCATTGACAGCTTAGGAGAATGGGCTTTCCATTTGCGTTCGCACCTCACAGCTCTTATTCTCTCTGGGAATCCAGCAATAGCTTTCCTGCAGGTTCGTTGAACCCTTTAAAGCATTTATTCTTTATAGCTGATATGGCTTATTTTGTTCACCTGCTTTTTTTTTGTAATTAACCGTCTAATCTATAGTTGATGTGTATGAGAACAAGAATCTTAGAATTAAGGAGGTGTCTTGTCCGGTATTCGGGATTGTAAATCGGGAATTCGCCAGGTAGATCTCATCCTGATCGCCAGCTACGGCATGTGCGAATGCAGCAGGGATGTGAACGTTTATTATCCTACAAGGGGATGTTTTTATACCGGGGTCTCTTCTTAACTTCTTATTCTGCTTACTTCTTCCTCCATCTTCTTCATGCTAATCTGAACCGTTCACCTCCTATCAGAAATCATCTAAAATATGATTGACCTCGATATGACACTCTGACCCACATTCCAAAGCACTTCTAATCGCCTCCTATGATTTTCCCCTTCCTTTGATTCCCACAGTTTCCTTTCATCTTCTTGCTGTACGGAGTGAGTCCCTAGACGAAATAATTGCATTAAAATATGTTCATTTCTCAGAAGTCGGCGAGTTATGGTCAAAACTTCGGCCTCGAACGGAACTCGAACCCGCACTTGTGCTATCCGGGCTCCGTACTCTTATCCCTTACACTACCGAGACCCCGCTTGCCCTCGCATTCTCAATGGTCTGTACATCAGTGCTCAGTACGTGTTGAGCCGGTCGGTTAATGGATGGTTCGGTGGTGATATTGGCCGATCGGCCCAAACGTTGTACGTGTGAGTACTGATAAGCTATGGTATACAAACCATTAAGAAGGCGAGGGCAAGCGATATCTGGCTA